TTACTTCTGTGATAGTAGCTGGTACTTTTGCTTACTATGTGCCAGGCTCCATTCCAAGTACTTGAAATGTACTCATTTCTAGTTAATCCTTACAACAATGCTCTGAGGTGAGTTACTTTTTTCCTTTTCTCTGTTTTGATGGAGTGTGTGTATGTGTGTGTGTGTGTGTATGAGTGAGAAACAAAGAGTTATTAATACAAAGAGTAAGTTTGTTTCTGAGCAGTTAAGATCCAGTCCACATTCTTAAGCACACTATATTGCCTTTCAGCCTGAGGTAGCTCAGTATGGCATTGTTCATTGTTCAGCTAGTGCTCATTAACCAAAAGGAGAAGATCAAAGGTCGTATTCATTTATTGTGTTGACCAGTATGACAGTCATTCACGCCTGCATGGGACAGTACTGAATGGTGCCGATACACATACTCAGATAAATATCTAAAATGTGTGTATGTGTGTGTGTGTGTGTAGGGATGTATATGATTTAGTGGTAGCATATCTTATGTAGGGGTTTGTCTCTAAAAGCAGCATGACCATGTAACATCAAAATAGCTCTTTTCCAGCAATAGTAACAAAAACAGCATGATATTGGCACCAAAATAGACTGGTAGGCCAATGGTATAGAATAGAGGACACAGAGACTAACCCAAATAATTACAGTTGTCTTATATTAGACAAAGGTGCCAAAAACATACATTGGAGAAAAGATAGCCTCTTCAACAAATGGTTCTGGGGAAACTGGAAATCCATATGTAACAAAATGAAATTAAACCTTATCTCTCACCATGCACAAAACTCAACTCAAAGTAGATCCAAGGACTTAGGAATAACCCACAGACACTGCGCCTATTAGAAGAAAAAGTAGGCCTAAATCTCTATCATGTTGGATTAGGCCCCAGTTTCTGTAATAAGACTCCTATAGCACAAGAATTAAAACCAAGAATCGATAAATGGGATGGATTCAAACCAAAAAGCTTATTCTCAGCAAAGGAAACAATCAGCGAGGTGAATAAGAGAGCCTACATCTTGGGAGCAAATTTTTACCACTCGCACAATAGATAGAACACTAATTTCTAGGGTATATAAAGAACTCAAAAAGCTAAACCCCTCAAAAAACAAATAGCCCAATCAATAAATGGGCCAAGGAACTCAACAGACACCTCTCAGAAGATTATATACAATCAGTCAAAAAATATATGAAAAAATGTTCATCATCACTAGCAATTAGAGAAATGAAATCAAAACTACTCTAAGTTTCATCTCACTCCTGTCAGAATGGCAGCTATTAAGAATACAAACAATAAGTGTTGGCAAAGATGTGGGGAAAAAGGCACACTCATACATTGCTGGTGGGACTGCAAATTGGTTCAGCCAATATGGAAAGCAGTATGGAGATTCCTTGGAAAACTGGGCATGGAACCACCATTTGACCTAGCTATCCTGCTCCTTGGTCTATACCGAACGGACTTAAAAACAGCATACTTTAGGGACACAGCCACATCAGCAGCACAATTCACAGTTGCTAAACTGTGGAGCCAACCTAGATATGCCCCTCAGTAGATGAATGGGTAAAGAAAAGTGGCATATAAACACAATGGAATATTATTCAGCAATAAAAGAATAAAATCATGGCATTTGCAGGTAAATGGATGGGGATGGAGAAGATAATGCTAAGTGAATTAGCCAATCCCAAGAAACCAAATGCTGAATATTCTCTCTGATATAAGGAGGCTGATTTATAGTGAGGTTGTGAGGGGCAGCATGGGAGGATTAGATGAACTCTAGATAGGGCAAAGGGTGTCAGGGGAAAGGAGGGCATATGGGGCTAAAAAAGATGGTGGAATGAGATGGATTTCATTATCCTAAGTACATGTATAGGGCTGGGGAGATAGCTCATTTGGTAGAGTGCTTGCCTTACATGCACAAGGCCCTGGGTTTGATCCCCAGCACCAAAACAAACAAACAACCCCCCCAAAACTAAGTACATGTATGAAGATATGAATGCTGTGAATATACTTATATACAACCAGAGATATGAAAAACTGCTCTATATGTGTAATATGAATTGTAATTCATTCTGCTGTCATATATATATAACAATACAAAAAAAAAACAACAACAGGCAATCAACTTGCTTAGACTTTTGTTAGAGGCTTTGTCTCATTCTTTGTGAGTGGCAATTTCAATCTCAGTTCATTTAATTTCTTTTTAAGACTCTGAGTTTGTGGTATGTAGGTGTCCTTTGAGGCTACCCTGAGACTTGTATGGGATTCATACACACAAGTAGAGGATTCAGTTTGTGGTTCTCTTTCCTCCAAAAGTTCCTCCCACCTCCATCTCCAGGTATGACTGTTATGCTCCTTTCCCTGGTTCTCTTTCTGCTGTACTATTTTACGACTGTGGCTCACTCTCAGGGCAAGTGCCCCTCTGCCAAACGTGCATACAAAGGGGCACTCAGCCATGTGCTAATGGATTCTACTTATATGGACTCCTTTTTTTATTTTGAAAAATCCTGGCCACATTCTATTTTTTGGAATTGTGGGTTGCACTATTTTCATTTTTATTTCTGAGCACATGAATTTATCAATTCCCATACTTGTTAAACACAAGTATGTTGATGTTATTCTTCTGAATGCATTGTATACATTTTGGTTGATTGTCTTGATTACTAATGTTGAAGACTTTCTTTTTTTGGTATGTTTCTACCTACTTATGGTTCTGTTTTGTGACTTGCCCATTTTTCTTTTGTTTGTTGACTTTTCCTCATAATTAGTTGTCATTTGCCTTATGTATGTTGAAAAATATTTTATTCCAGTCTTTTGTCATATAAAAATCTTAATTTTTTATTTTTTTGAGCAGTACTAGGGATTGAACCCAGACAGTCGATCATTGAGCTATTATCTCCAGCCCCTTTTAGTTATTTATTTTAAAAATTTGAGACAGGGTCTCAACAAGTTCTCTAGGATGGCCTTGAACTTGTGATCCCTGTTCCTCAGTCTCCTATATAACTGGGATTACAAGAATGTGCCATGAATTTTGATGTCTTATCTATAAATCATGGCTTTATTCAGATTAAATACTTTTGTTTCTCTGCCTTCATTGCTTGATTAAAAAAAAAAATCAGTAATGTTGAATTTTTGTGAAGCACCTTTTTCTGTCTAAAGGAGTGACCATAATAATTTCCTTGTGTAATGAATGAGGATTAATGAATTTCTAAATACTGAACTTTCCTTTAATTCTTTGGATAAAATCAAAATCAATTTGACCATGATTTATTATCTTTTTAAAAAACTGTTAGCCGAACGTGGTGGCACATACCTGATGGCTCAGGAGGCTGAGGCGGGAGGATGGCAAGTTCAAATTTTATAAATTGCTTCTATTTTCTGGATGGGTTTACTTTTTTTGGTATGTTTTTTTTTTTTTTTTTGGATAATTTCAAATTTACAGAAAATTTTGAAATTTTCAACCAATTTAGAATAATTGGTTAAGAAACTATGTAGGTGGGGGGGTATGGGCAGGATAGATGAACTCTAAATAGGGCAGAGGGGTGGGAGGGGAAGGGAGGGGGCAGGGGGTTAGCAAGGATGGTGGAATGTGATGGACATCATTATTCAAAGTACATGTATGAAGACACGAATTGGTGTGAATATACTTTGTATACAACCAGAGATATGAAAAATTGTGCTCTATATGTATAATATGAATTGTAACGCATTCGGTTGTCATATATAAATTAAAAATATAAAATAAAAAAGCAGACTTTCCACCACGGAATACTGTCTTTATGATGAACGTAAAGAGAGAAAAGGCTGAAATCCACCCCTACCCCCAGCCCCTCAGTGGACATTGCATGAACCCACAACATGATGGCCACAATGCTCCTCTGGCTTCCTTACAGGAGGACACGATGGTATCAGGAACCTGTGTGGTGTCTGAGGAGGGGAATTAAAAAAAAAAAAAAAAAAGAAACTCCTATGTACACTTTAGTCAGATTAATCTACTGCTTACATTTGGTGCTGGGGATCCAAGTAGGGCCTCACACGAGTCAGGCAAGTCTTCTGTTGCTGAGTTCCATTGCTTCAGACCCTAGTTTTTTTCTCTCTTATGATATTTAATCTGGAACATGTCATTGGCCTTTTTATTGTTTTTCTTGACATTTTAATTGTATAGGTCAGTTTTTGTTTTTTGTTAGTTTTTTTCTTTTTAATTCAGAAGAGTCCTCAACTTCGGTTTGTTTGGTTAGATAAATTCATTGCTTATTTTTGCTAGTAAAATGAAATACCACAGAAGTGATGGTATGTTCTCAGTGCATCATATCTGGAGTCACCTGATGTTGTTTACATTGATGGCTGAAAGGCTTCTCCACTCTAAATTTATTACTTCCTTCAGTAATTAGTAAGTATTTTGTTAGGATTTATTTTGAGATGGTGTTAATATCTGCTCATCATAAACTGTTCACCTTTGGGTTTATTATTCTTGTTTCTTGCTTGTCATGTTGAAAGCTTAGTTTGTTTACTTCAGCCTCATATTTTCTAAAGTACTTAAGATTATAAACTTGTTTTTTTTTTGGGGGGGGGGGATCCTGGGGATTGAACCCAGGGCCTTGTGTGTGTGAGGCAAGCACTCTACCAACTGAGCTATATCCCCAGCCCTAAGATTATAAACTTAATACATAATTTGACTTATGGTCTGGGAATACTTATAGTAGGATTTGGAATGAAAGGAGACTAAATCATCTATTACCAGGAAGCTGGCAGTAAGAACCTGAACAGAGAATTTAAAAGTGCCCAAAATCAATCATTTTAAAAAATGTGTTCAGTCTTGCATTAAAGAACAAGTGATATGGTTTTTAATGGTTTAATGGTTGTAATTGGCACAACTATGAACAGTAATAAGTTGCTGAAAATAATGAATTTAAGAAGTTTATTTCTTTAGTGCATTGCGTACTTGGGGCTTATTTAATATACAACTATCTCAGACCATGTTTTGCCTTTACCATTTCAGGAGCAGTGGAAGGGGCATGGAAGAATCCTTTTTCAAGCTGGTTTTCTGCAATGCTCCACTGCTTTGGTGGAGGAATTTTATCATGTATACTTCTTGCAGAGCCTCCACTGAGGTTTTTTGCAAATCACACTAATGTTTTACTGGCATCTTCAATCTGGTAAGCTATCATTATGGTAAACTATGAGACATTCTAAAAATTGTTTTGTAAATTGCTAGTAAAATGAAATTTTTTTCTTTAAAAAGTATTTTATCCTCTTGGAAAGTTATGTACAAGGAAGAAACCCAAATAATTCCAAATGTTTAAGCACCTGCTGTCTCTTTCTTGCCTTTCTCTCCCCTTATTTTTTCTTTTCTTTTCTTTTTTTATATATTTTTTTTTAGTTTTTGATGGACACAGTACTTTTATTTATTTTTATGTGGTGCTGAGGATCGAACCCAGTGCCTCCCACATGCGAGTCAAGCGCTCTGTCACTGAGTCACAATCCCAGCCCCTCCCCTTATTTTTTCCTAGAGGCAATTATTACCACCATAGTCTTATGCATTTAGCTTTTCAGACATGAAAGAGGATTAAATATTTGGCCCCAAACAGTTTCATCTTATGAGCTCAACTTATACATCCAGAATTACCACACACAGAATTAGAATACAATAAAAGTCAATAAATGTCATGAATGTAACCAAACAAAAAAGATTCAAATGACTCAATATATAATTGTCCTTTGTCATACTTTTTGTTGGGTTATTTAGAACCTTATGAGATCTTTAACATTAATTTTTTAGTTGTGAAATGAAGTAAAATGTTGCTAGGAATTGCTTTGGCTTCTTGTAACTCCAAATTCAGGTATGCTTTAGAGAATTGATCCATTAAGTTAAAAAATAGGTATATTACAAATCAGTGAACTTTGTTCTGTTGAAAGCCAAAACTGTGCTTCTATTAAAAACCACATCAGGTTAAATATATAAGATGTTAGGAACACTTAAGATTTCATTTTTATTATGATAATTTGTAAATGATTGTTTTACTAGTTCTGAAGGGGATATTATAAATAATAGTAGCAATAATAAAAAGTAAAATGAGGGAACTTGTGGCAGGAGAAACTTGAAAGGGTATAATAATACACTTGATAGTTTTGAATACTGACTTGTTACTATATGTCAGCTAAATTCTTTATATTCATTTTCATATTATATTATAGGAGTCCCCTGAGTTAGTTTTTATTCTTATGCCCATTTGACAACTGAGAAAACTGAAATAAAGAAATGTTGCTATAACTTTCATATCTAGTAAGTGACTGAGTTAGAATCAAATTAAAAAATTTGACTTCAGAACCTTCAAACTTGATAGGCCCTCGCTCGCGCACGCTCGCTCGCTCTCGCTCTCTCTCTCTCTCTCTCTCTCTCTCTCTTTCATGAAGCTGTGATGGAACCAAGACCTCACTCATGCTAGGCAGGCTCTCTGCTGCTGAACTACATCCCCAGTCCTCTCATAAATTTGTTAACAATCTCCTAAATATAGTCTTTTCCATTTGCTTTTTGTTTTAAAAAACTTTTCAAGGATTTTATTTCTACAATGATATTTTAAAATGATATTAGCATTTTAGAAAAATTCTTTTTATGTGTGTAGATGTTGAAATTATATAAAAAGTAAGATATCCAGAATCTGACACTCACCATCACTTATACTTCTATTTCTGTTGTACTAATCACCAATACTTCTTGCCTGGATAGTTGAAGTAGCTTCTTAAGGGGTCTTGCTGCTCTATTCATTATCTCTCTTTTTTTTTAAATTTATTTTTTAGTTTTCGGTGGACACAACGTCTTTATTTTTATTTTTATGTGGTGCTGAGGATCGAACCCAGTGCCTCGCGCATGCCAGGCAGTCATGTTACTGCTTGAGCCACATCCCCAGCCCTATTCATTATCTCTTGAGTCTGTTCTTCATGCAACAGATGAAATGAATTGTTTTAAAATAAATTGGAACATGTTACCCTTATGCTAGAGTTTCTTACCTTATGAAGAACAAAATTCTAAGCTCTTACCATAACCTATAAATCCCTACAAAACCTTTCTTCTACTCTTTAATGTAATGTCTTACCACTGTAACTCTTGTTCACTAATTCTTGAACATATAAGATATTTTTCTTCCTTAGTGCCTTTGAACTTGCTTTCTTCTCCCTGTAATGTTATTTTCCCAGAAGACTCATAGTTTATTAGAGAGGTCTTTCACCATCCTTCTCTATTTTTCTTCCTAGAGTTATTACTGCTTGACATATTAACCGTTGACTTTTTATGTTGCTGTAATTCCACTAGAATAACAAACAGCTTATTAGACCAAGAACTTTGTTTTGTTAACTGTGTACCAAGTAATATTCTGCTTTCAGTAAATACATTGCTAAAGGAATAGATTGCTATGTACTGTCATGAGCAATTTCTGAAATTGAGTACCAAGGAATTACAGATCTTGATTAATTGATCTCTTAAATGAAGTGAAATTGCATGTCTATAAATGTATGATTTCTTGGCTTAAACTAAGACATATGTTAGAAATGGAAAATGAGAAATGCATTTTTATAATGAATTAATAACATATTCATTAACCTCAGATCTTTTATTATTCCCATTTTATGTAAGAGGAAGTTGAGGCTTAAAGAGTTGGTATAAAGTCTGAATTTCATCTCAGGCATTTAGATTATGGTCTTTATAGAGTTTTTTCTCTAAACAATCTTTATTAGTCTTTTCAGCTAATACAGAATAGGTAGAAAAATATTTCTAAAGTATATGTAAAATAGAAACAATTATGATGTAATAAATCTTGTGTATCCATTATTTAATTAAGAAAAAAATTGCCACTTAAATTTTTTTATATGAAGTGAACATTCAGAAAGCCACAAAGATGCATTGACATAGTAAATTATTATAGTGTATACCCTTGTAACCCCTACCCCAGTCAAGAGATTGTGCTTTGTCACTAATCATAGAAGTTCTTTCTGTGTGTTTTATTCCAATCACAACCTCTTTCCCACCTTAAATAACCATTATAATAACACATCCTTACTTCTATGGGAATCACGTTTCATATTTTTATAATTTTATCACCACTGTTCATTCCTTGATATATTATAGTTTAGTTATTTATAGGTTCAGATTGTCTGATTTGATCTCTTTTGTGATATTTACAGTGTTTTACACTTAATGCCTGTAACAGTAAATTGGGAATTGTAAAATGGCAATGATCTAATTTTATCTTTTCTTTTTATTTATTTATTTATTTAAAATTTTTTTTTGTAGTTGTACACAATACCTTTATTTTATTTTTTTATTTAAATGTTGTGCTGAGGATCGAACCCACACTGCACACATACTAGGCGAGTGCTCTACTGCTGAGCCAGAACCACAGCCCCCTTCTTTTTATTTAAAATATTTTTTAACTTGTAGATGAACACAATACCTTTGTTTTATTTTTTATGTGGTGCTGAAGATTGAACTCAGTGCTTTCCACATGTGAGGCGAGCACTCTGCCACCGAACTACATCCCCAGCCCTCTTTTCTTTTTATTCATCAGTTAGAATATTATTCTAAACAGATACTTCTGACTTACCATCTACTATTTGGTGCAGTTGTATAGTTCATATAAGAAAGGCAGGATAAATACTTTTTTCTTTTCCTTTACTAGTTTTCAGTATAATTAACCTATCCTCTGTCATCCTCCAAAGATGACCAGTTTAAAAAAACAATAATTATGAACTCATGATTCAAGCATATTTCATGAGTTTTAATTTTAATTTTTGTTTTAATTCTTTGGCCAGTGGGAGCCTCTTTAAATTGGCTCCTGAGACTTCGGATTAGCTTCCTTGCCTTTTGGTGTTATAAAATTCATCTTGCACTTTTCTTCTGGAATTTCTTTAAGAACCTCCAGTATCTTTTTAATGAGAAATGGCATTTCAAAACCATAATCTGAGCATTAGCGATCATCATTATTACTGAGTTCATCATTGGTTCTAGGCCACTACAGTGAACAGATAAGAAAAATAAAGACAAAATAACTTATGAGTTCATATTGATATTTCTGATCCAAATTCAAAACTATACAATTTTTATTTATCTTATCTCTATTACATACATATCTTCTTTCTTTGATATTAAGGATTTTGATTTTTAAAAGAATAGGACATGATAGAATTAAACTATTTTGACATTGCTTATTTATTCTGTTGTTTATTTGATTTTGTGTGGTGCTGAGGATCGAATCCAGGGCCTCACCCATCCTAGGCAAACACTCTAACACTGAGCTAGAACCTCAGCCCTCATTTTATTCTGTATTATGCACATGATAGTTTTAGAGTATAGTAGGACTGTCACCAATTTGGTTACTGGAAACTTTTTTTTATTAGAGCTTTATATTTATATATAATATTTGGGTTCCTTTTGACATACAAAGAATTTGATTTCAATCCCCATTCCCCCCTCCTTAATTTCCTCCTTTTTTTTTTCCTCTCTTCTCACTCTTTTATTTATTTATTTTTGACTGGTACTTTCTACATACACATAGAGGAGATATACCGTTTGGTACATTTATATATGTATATATTATGGTTTTGTTAGATTCATTCCATGTTTCTTTCCCTTATGCTTCCTTTTCTCTCTCCCTCATTTTCCTACTTTTAATCCACTGATCATCCCTGTATCTTTATGATATCCAATCCCCTCCCCCACTGCCTTTTCCCCCTTATTTTGCTTTAGCTTCCACATACAAGAGAAAACATTCAACCCTTGATTTTCTGAGTCTGACTTATTTCACTATGTATGATTTTCTCCATTTCTATCCATTTACTGGCAAATGTCACATTTCATTCTGATTTATGGCTGAGTAAAACTCCATTGTGTGTGTATACCACATTTTATTGATCTGTTTATATATTGACAGGTATCTGGGTTGATTCCATAATTTGGCTATCGTGAATTGTGCTGCTACTAACATTGTATTGGCTGTTTCATTATAGTATGTTGATTTTAATTCTTGGATAAATACCAAGGAGTGGGATAGCTGGGTTATATGGTGATTCCATTTCTAGAATGGAATCTGCTTTTGAAAGTAGTTGTACTAATTTGCAGTACCAACAACAATATTTGAGTGTACCCTTTGCCTACATCCTCGCC